CTAGAGCACAGGCTCAGTAGTTGTGGTGCACGGGCTCAGCTGCTCCGCAGCATGTGGGATTTTCCCCAGACCAGGGCTCGAACCTGCATCCCCTGCATTGGCAGGCGGATTCCCAACCACTGCACCACCAGGGAAGTCTCAGCAAAGATTCTTAAAGGAAATAATTCCGTTTCTCATCCTCTTTGTCTGAGCTCTAGATACATGATCCCCATGGCCCATCTTTGAATCGTCTCAGAGCTGTGTACATGGTGGGCGCTGGTTGAATGAATGACAGGGAACATGGACAGAACAAGTGGGAGGATGAATGTGTGCACAGTGGGTGGGTGGGTGCACGAGTGGATGGGAGGATGGAAAAGTAGATGGATGAGTGGAACAAGAAATGGTCTTCCTAATTTCTGGGGACCAACCACAAGGAACATGTATTCAGTACGTAATTGTGTCTGGCCCCAAGTTCAAGATGGCATTATGCCAACTCAGACCCCACCTTTGGAAGCTGTGACACACAATGGGACAGAGTCAAGCACACGCAGGGTAGATGGAGTGGGGGGAGATGATGTGGAACCCAACAGGAATGGAGGGTGTAAGAGGGGCCAGTTAAGATTCAGGCAGACTGGGGTTACTATGTACTCAACAGAGCATTTGGAGGTTCCTGGGGTCCCGTGTGCAATGCTGCTGCCATGTCAAAACCCTCTGTGGAGTTCTTCTCGGCTTGTTCTAGTCTCACCTGCCTCCCAGCCTGAATTGCACACACTGTCTCCCAATATCCCCCAAGTAGGTAGCTACAAAGAAAGATGAGCTTTTGGAAGACACTGGTTCTTGAGGTAAGCTATGAATGGCTGGTCCACGCAATAGAACCACAAGTTGGAAAGGCCCTTAGAGATCATCTCCAAACTGGGCCATTTTACAGGTGGGAAAACCAAGGTCCAGGGAGGGGAGATGACTTTCTAAAGTTGTGTGGCAAAGAGTAACAAAGGGGACCCAGGTGTCCTGATTCTCACCCCAAGTTATGAGTTCATTATTGCTCTTTTGCTGCACCCAGCAGCCCCTGTGCCCTACCAGTCCCATTAGGATTTTTGCCTCCCTGGGGGTGGTTTCACTATTTCCTCTGTCTCTACACTCAGCGGAAATGAAGGAGAAGGTCAAACCTCTGGAAGTTCTGAGGTATCCCTCCTCAGATCCCCTCCTTGGGACATCAGCCTTCATGGCCTGGCTCCTTGACCTTCCTGTTCATACTTGAGCTTGAGCAAATGCAGCAAACACTTGGCCAGGTGGAGAACTGGGGTCTCCAAGAAGAGGAGGGAGAACACAGACTGGGGACAGGAAGAAAAGGAGAAGAGAGGCTGGGATGGACATTCACCCATCACCCACCATCCAGCAGGCACTGTGCTGGACAGTTATAACATCTCATTTATTCTCGTAACCCCGCAAGATAGGGAGTGCTATTCCTGCTTTATAAATGAGAACACTGAAGCCTAGAGAAGTGGCTTGGCTTGGAGAGCCGGTCAGCAGGGAGCCCAAGAATAAAACTCAGGGCTACCTGACCCCGAAGCCCTTGCTGGGTCCTGAGTTCCTAGACAACATGCTCTGTCACAGACCGTCAAGAGTTCTCAGGAGCCACCCAGCAGGAGCTGGAGTTCCTCTCCTGAGGGCCCAATCAACAAGGTCAAGGCTAACAGGGATCAATGCAAAGTCCTGCCCTTAAGTTCAAAAAGACAGCTGCACAAGAGTGTAATGGAGTTCTGGTTACTGGACCGCAGCTCATCATAACACTGTCACCATGCATAATGCGGCCGTTACTGCCTTCTAGTTCCATTGCACTTTGAGTGTAGGAAGCCCTTGTACTTACTGATCTTAGGGCTTTGACCGTAAACAAGCACAAGAATAAGTCAGAAAGAGGCTTGCGGGTGTCCCAGCAGGGTCTGGGTGGAGCAGGGTCTGTGGCTGCCTGTAAAGCGAATGGGCTATTTGCCTGCATTCATCCAGTGCAATAGCAATAGGTTTTGTGTGCAGCCACTGTGCTGAATATATCACATGTTTTATCTCATTTAATTCTCACACAACCCTATGAAGTTTGTAATTCCTGTTTTACAGATCAGAAAACTAAGAAGTGAAGACAGTTGACGGAGGTCACACAGCTAGTAAATAGTAGAATTCAGGCTCAGGTCTGATAATTGTCAAGAAAAATGTCGTTCTGGAGAGTTCAGGCCCCCTCTGGAGTCATGTATCCAGTTTGAGGTGTTATATTTAAGGAAGACAGAGAAACAAGGAACCCATCCATGAGGGAGACTATCACCCTAAAGATTGTTTGAAGGAGCTGAGAATATTTATCCCGGAGAAGAAAATCATCAGAGAACATACAGTTGCTGTTTTCAAGGGCAGAGAGCTCCTCTACTTAGAAACAGGTTGGGTTCACCAACGATTTGTTGGTTAAGTCCGAAAGGACATACTATAGCCAACTGCTATTGCCACCTACTGGTGGGAGATAAAATTGATGTGCTGATTTCAGCTACCGTAACTGTACCATTCATAGAACTTAACTTCTCATACATAGAAGGGCTTTTAAGCATGATCCTTGTCATGTGTAAGAAGTAGCAGATTACCTTTGTGGGAAGAGAATTAGGACAAATGGGTTAAAATCACAAGGGGACAGCTTTTGGTTCCAAAATGAAAGTTAATTTTCTGATAATGAACACAAATTTATCAAGGGACTGCTCGGGACTAGTGAGGTTCTTGTCTGTGAGAGAAACCAAGTCATGCTGAATCTCCCATCTCTCAGGTGAATGGGAGAAATCGATCCCAATGTTTTGGTGGGTCTCAGGCATTCATGGCTTACCTATTCTGAGCTATAGTTGGACGTTTGGGTAGGGGTCTGCCAGGGTTGATAGCATCTGGGCTGTCTTATCCAGGGAGGAACTTTTAGGCTAGGCCAGAGGGAAGGAGGGTACCACAGGGGCAGAGCAGAAGGGGGAAATATTTTGGACAGGTGGGGTCTGGCAACATTTATCCTCCAGTTATGGCCCTTACACTTAACCAAGGAACAGTCAGAGAGGGGTGGTTCAGTGAGGTCCGTGATCCTCCATCGCTTCCCAAACTGACCTCCCACACGGGGCCATTTGTAAACAACCCAAGGGAAAAGTTTCTTATAGATTCTGCAAATGAGATTAAGGCTCGGCTGGAGACAGAGGTTCAGAGTATAGGCAAGGTCAGGGACCAGTCAGGTAGGACCAGTCTGGGTCAGGGTTAGATCAAGGGCTCTGGCTCTCTGTGCCACAGCCTGTGAGGTTTGTCCCCAGATCCACTGGGAGGCAGTCCAGTGAGAGTTTATGGAGAAGGGGCTGTGAAATCAGACAGACCCTAGCTTGAATCCTAGCATGGCTACATATTAGCCTTGTGAGCTTAGATTGATTTCTTCTCTGATCTGAGTCTCAGTTTCCTCATCTGTAGAGTGGGCACAGTGACTGCACCCTCCTAACCAGAAAGGTATGAGGATTAAATGAGACCTCCCACATAAATCACTGAGTGCAGTGCCTGGGGCACATAGTATATTATTATTATTATTAATTATTAAATTAACCTCTGTCAATGAAAACTAGCTTCGCCCTCCCTGTATGCTCCCCCATTTTCTGTGGCCATGGATCCCGGTCATGGGCACACTTGATACTGAAATCCCCTGCTGGATCTCACTTGGTTAACAAGAATTGCAGAGGCCCCACACATGAAAACACCCACATCCTTGGCCATCAACGCTCCACCACCCTCCCTCCCACCTTCTCTGATGTGGCAGGAACAGAGACGTAATTAAAGCCCTCGGTCCTTAGATGGGGCAAGATATGCTCTGGGATTACTCACTGTTCTCTCAGAAAGAAGAGTAGCCGGGCCCATCTGAAAAGGAGTCACACCTGGCACTTGGCACCCAGGAGGTCACCCTGAAGGACCTGCAGAGGAGCCTGTGTCCTGGTGGCCTTAGGCGGCTCCATTACTGGTCAGTATGTGTCTGTGAGTACATGTGTGCGGGTTCCTGTAGTGACTGTTCATTCCCCCCCTCCCCACCGATGTGTACCAGGGGCAGGTGGTGTAGAGGGAAGGATATAGTCTTTGAAGTTTGCAGAACCAAGTTCATATGCCAAGGCTGCAGCCTCCAGGCTGTATGAGCATGGAAAGTCTCAGGGTCCTCATTTGAAACAAGGGGAGAGGAAAACCTACTTTACATGGCATTTGCTAATTAAATCAGAGGATGGATAAAAATATCTGGCACAAGGTCTTGGCATGTGGCAGACACTCGGATGGTGGCTTCCGTCATCTTTGTGCATGTTGGTTTAACGGGGGATGTGTCCATGGTAGGGTTTAGTTTATCTAGTGATTATGCCATGTCTCTCTCCTTAAATGACCTTTGACCAATGGCCACCTATTTGCCTCTTCTTAATGTTTTTGTTTTTATTTTTGTTTTTCTCTCTTTTTTGTGTTTAAAAGGAATTGTGAGAAAGCGTTACTGGTGAGTGTCCTCAGCTTGATATTGGTGGGGATAGAAGCAGAGCGTCTGGGCAAATGCATATTAAAACCCTTTATGTGCTGAGATGGGGAGTGTGTATATGTGTGTGTTGAGGGAGGGGTTCAGCCACCTCTCCTTAGGAGTAGGAGTGGGGGTCGGGGGCTGGGGAAGAATTTTATTCCATGTTCGCAAATTGGTCCATACCTATTTTTTTTTAAAATAAATTTATTTATTTATTTTTGGCCGCATTGGGTCTTCATTGCTGCATGCGGGCTTTTCTCTAGTTGTGGCGAGCGGGGGCTACTCTTTGTTGCGGTGCGCAGGCTTCTCATTGCGGTGTCTTCTCTTGTTGCGGAGCGCAGGGTCTAGGTGCACGGGCTTTGGTAGTTGTGGCGCGTGGGCTCAGTAGTTGTTGTGGTACATGGGCTTAGTTGCTCCACGGCATGTGGGATCTTCCCAGACCAGGGCTCGAACCCGTGTCCCCTGCATTGGCAGGTGGATTCTTAACCACTGAGCCACCAGGGAAGCCTGGTCCATACCTATTTTTATAGAAAGAATTTTTTTTCCTGTTTTGAGCTCCTGTCTCTAATTAGTTCAGCAAGTATTCACTGACACCCACTAAAATCCTGAGGGCTATCTACCATTTACTGAGCACTTAAAAGCACTCTCCATACTTAACCTTGATCCCTCATTTCCCTTGGGAAGAGCTACCTCATTTTACAAACAGCAACCCCAGCTGGGAGAGGTTCAGCCACTCACTCAAGTCCTTCCACCGGCAAAGGTGAGGAGAGCCAGACAGGAGTGAAAAGAACCAGAAACAGTCTCTACCTCAACGGCCTGACCATGAACATGGCAAGTTGACTGCCAGACACAGCAACTGAGACACGAGCTGTGGTGGTGCTTCTCTGCAGGGCACTGCTATGGGAGGATGGAGGGCAGCATCGCTAATTCTATCTGGCGGGAAGTCTTCCTGAAGGTGACTGGGCTGAGTCTGGAAGGTTCTGTTCCTTTTGGAGGGGGAGCGGGCCATGGAGCATGGCCAGCAACCCAGGTCTGTTTAAGGTAGTCGGGAGACAGGAAGCCCAGCCAGGCTGAAAGGTTGAAAGGTTGGCCGGCGTGGGGACGTCAGAGTCACAGACACGTCCTTCAGGAAGCCTGAGTTGTGAAAGTCCTGAGGATTGGGTTTTTGGGAGGAGGGGACAGACATAGCTGGGGGTGGAGCAGTAGTTTAGGCAGGATCTCGAGACTTAAAGGAGGGCAGAGAAAGTAAAGGCAGAGCCTGTCCTGTGGATCAGCAGGGCCTGGCCGCACAGGGTCATTCTGAGGCTGAGGCCCTTGTTGGGAGGGTTGGCAGGGGAACAGGTCATAGCCACCAGAGCCCCCAGCCTGGCTGCAGATGACCTGACCCCACTTGGAGGGGTGCTGACTCCCGCTTCCATCATGAGCTGGCAGAGTTGGGGGACCTCGGAGGCCAAAGCCTGGGGCCGCAGCCCAGAGACAGCAAAGACCAGGAACGACGGGGGAGGATGGAGTGGCCCGTTGTCCCAGCAATTTGGCAGAGGTTGGTAGGAGGAACCAGGAGGCTGAAATGGAGGGTGGAAACAGCCAGTGAAGGGCTTTCGCTGCCAGATATAGACGTGTGGGTACCGGGGAGATGATTGTTTTTTGAGCCCGAGAATGCTATGGTCAAACCTACTGTCTCTCTCACTCTCACCAGAATGTGAGCTTCCGGAGTCAAGGAGTTTGCCTTTGGGCCAAGCTCCACGTCTTCGTAGCTGTGTGACTTTGGTCGATTCACTCAACCACTCTGAGCCTCAGTTTCTCAGCAGCAAAATGTGATGATTGAGAGCATTAAGGAAGCTGACAGATGGCATTTGTGAAGACAGCCTTGTGCATGGGAGATGCTCTCTTCCCACTGAGGGTTTTGCGCAACCACACCTGTGTTCTCTCTCCTCCACCCCCATCCCCAGACCACACTCATCCTTCAAGGCCCATTCAAATTGATCTCCTCCTTGAAATCATTCTTCACAACCCAATGGCTCCTGTCACTGACTGCTTAATAATCAAGTAACCATAATTTTTTTCATTTGCTTTTATTCTTTCCTCCTTAGATGGTAAAGCTTTTGAAAGCAGGAACACAATTTCAAGCACGGTTGTGGGGTGGGCAAAGCCCCACTAGCGTGGGAAGTAGACGCCCGGGGTTTAGTTCTTCTAGGTAAACTTGGGGCTCCACGTGGCACTGGGGGCTTCAGTTTCATCAGTCAAATGGCAACGATAACCTCCCTCACAGTTTCCAGAAGATCAATTTAGACATTCTGTGTGAAACATAGTTAGGAGGAGTTGAATAAATATTGTTGAATGAATTGAAACTGCTTTGTATAATGAAGTTCTTTACAAATGTCAGACCTTATTTTTAATTCCCCATAGTGTATAGTAAAAGGCCTTATCTTTAATTGCTGCTGAGAGAAACTGCATGCTTAAATATTTTCTCCTGTCACCCAGATGAAGACCAAAAGAGGCATCATACAGGGGTTATAAAGATTACTCTGGTTTTAAATGATATTTCATCTTCCTTCTCAGCAGGTCGAGATGACCACAGCTACCCCTTTGGGGAGTACCACCTTCTTCTCATTGAACATGACCACCAGAGGAGAAGACTTTCTGTACAAGAGTAAGGTCAACTTAGCTTGGCGGCCAGGGGAGCGAGGGCGGGACAGGTGTTGTGGTCAGCTCCTGGTGTCGAGGTCAAGAGCGTGGGCCCTGGAGACACACTGCCTGGGTCTCAGTCTCAGTAATATACCACTTGCCAACTACATGACCCTGAGCACATGACTTCACTGCTCTGGGCCTGATTTCCTCATTTATAAGATGGGAATATTAACAATGCTGCCACATAGGTAGGTGTGAAAGCTAGAAGGGATAATCCATGTAAAAAACGTAGCATAGCCTCTGTGCGAATGAAACATACTAAATACCTAATGAGTATTATTATTATTATTACTATTACTATTATTTTCATTAGGGAGTTTGGGGGCTTAGAAGGCAATGGAGATTTCTATCTCTTGTAAGATGGCCCTACACGAGTCACCTTAAAATGCAGCTACTTTCGTACTAGTTTTGCAAAGCAAAGACATCCCATCAATTTACCAAAGAGTAAATGAATGTAGGTAGGAAGAGTTAGTTCTGGGGAGACATTTGCCAAGAACAAGGGGTCCCTAGAAGGAAAAATTTGAGGACCATTCTTCAGAAAACCAACTGACTGTATTAGGTGAAATTTGGGTCCATTTCAGTCATCTCAGGCAACTTGGTACATACCTCCATGAATGGAATAGGCCTCCCGACACACATGGAGCAGTGAGGAACAGTGTTAAACAGCTACAGGCTGGGGTACTCGCAGGAAGCTGGGTTAATGGCAGGATGTGGCTCTTCTATGGAGACCCAGAGAGGGTCGCTCTTGGGACAGGGTCCCACATGTTAGCCTGCTCTTGCTGGGTGGGGAGACCTACAGAGGCCTGCTGAGATATGTCTCAAAACAGTTCTGAAGTGAAATGCAGGGTAGATAGAATCACTGTCAGCAAGATGGGAATAATACTGTTTTCGTTTAACTAAAAGTCATGGCTCTCAACTAGGCAATTTTGCCCCCTAAATAAGGTTGCCAGATTTAGCAAATAAAAGTACAGGATACCAATTAAATTTGAATTTAAGATAAACAATTCGGCTTCCCTGGTGGCGCAGTGGTTGAGAGTCCGCCTGCCGATGCAGGGGACACGGGTTCGTGCCCCGGTCCCGGAAGATCCCACATGCCGTGGGGCGGCTGGGCCCGTGAGCCATGGCCGCTGAGCCTGCGCGTCCGGAGCCTGTGCTCTGCAATAGGAGAGGCCACAACAGTGAGAGGCCCGCGTACCGCAAAAAAAAAAAAAAGATAAACAATTAATAGATTTTTAGTATAAGGATATACCTTGCAATATTTTGAAATTATTCATTGTTTATCAGATATTCTAATTTAATGGGTATTCTGTATTTTATCTGGCAACCCTACCACCAGGAGACACTTGGCAATGTCTGAAGACATTTTTGCTTGTCACAACTGGGAGTGTGGGAGGAGAAGTGCTACTGGTATCTAGTGAGTACAGGCCAGGGATGCTGGTAAATACCCTGCAAGGCACAGGACAGTCCCCACAACAGAGAATTATCCAGCCGAGGTTGAAAAACCCACTGGACTCCCCAGGAAGGAAAGAAAAACAAGTAACACCACGATGGATTCCCCACCCCCTCCCTTTTTCCCTCTGTCCTTCTTCCTATGAATAAATGCACAGTTGTTGTTGTTTTTTAAGTAAACTTTTTATAAAAGCATTACATATGTTCGAAAAAGTGCCCAAATGATAAGTGCACAGCTGGACGAATTTTCACAAAGTGCACACAGCTGTGTAGCCAGCCCCGCAGATGAAGAATCAGGCCACCATCCGTGTTTCAGAAGTTCTGGTGCCCTTTGCAATCACCATCCCCCACCCACTCAAGGGAACCCACCGTTCTGACTTCTACCACCATAGATTAATTCTACCTTGGTTTTGAACTTTGTATTCGTGGAATCATACCACGAATGATTTGTTCAATGTTATGTCTGTATGCACATATTTAATGGTTGCAACATAATGTATATGTATGTATATGTGTATATAATATCATAGTCTATATTCCACACTTTTCTATCATCGAAAGTGTTCCATGTACCATAGTCTTCATAATTATTATTTTAATTACAGTATATTTCATGGATAAGTGTGCTATACCTTATTAAACCCTTCCCATATTTAGAATATCAATAATGGAATAAACATTTTCATTCATATAGCTTTTTCTGTATTGGGGATTATTCCCTATGATCAATTCCCCAGAATCAAATAGATCGGTTTAAAGTATGAAGCTTGTTTATGATTCTTGATGTTTTCTGTATCAATTCTGGCAAGGCTGTTGATCTTGAACCTAATATTAGAATTTGACTTTGGGACTGGGAGCTGATATTGAAATTAGAATCTGAGATATGAAGCTACAAGGACATTCATCATAGCCGTGTTTTTAATAGTGTAAAATTGAATGCAACATAAATATCCTCAATAAAGAATTGGTAAGCAAATTATGGCACAGGCAAACAGTGGAGTACTATACAGCCTTCAAGAGTCATGAAGAGAAATATGTACTTACGTAGCAAAAGGATCAGGGTATTTTGTTGTAAAACGGTATATGGAATATGGTTCCATTTTTATCAAGTGCATATTTTTCCTTATTTATGAATATTTTCTTAAGATGGATTTTCAGACATAGGATTAATAAATTATTCTAAAAGATGATAGGTAAATATGCATATATGCAAAAACATGACCACATTGGTGAATGTATACGTATGTAGACTATCAGTGGTCTTGGGGTAATGAGGTCTTCGTCTTCCCCTCCTCTTTGGCTTGTATGTATATTTTCAAAATTATCTACACAGGGCACAGGGCTATTGTTGTTGCCCATGTGTGTCCGGTAGGAAAAAAAAAATTATCTACAAAAACCACATATTACTTTTATATCATCTGAAAGAAGGAAGGATGTTTTATTTCACAAAAGTAGTTCAAGGCTATCTTGGGGATGATAAGAGCAGGGCTTAGCCTAAGGCAGGATTTTGGCAGGGCAGGTGCTGAGGATATGGCCCTCTAAGTCCCATTGGAGGTAGAGGTACACTGCCACTCTAGATGTGACTCTGTCCTGGGGTCAGCAGTGAGTATGCCAGGATTTCACGTTCTCTCCTCTCCTTGACCCAGTGAGGAAGCCAGGTGTTGTGTCTTCCTCCCAGCCTCCGCATCCTTCCTTGCATTTCAGTTTGCACGTTAGCCATCTCCACTCCTCTCTTCCTCGTAGGTTCAGGAGCCATCGTTGCTGCCATTGTGGTGGTTGTCATCATCATCTTCACCGTGGTTCTGATCTTGCTGAAGATGTACAACAGGTATGGGATGCCCTGGGCTTTGGAACTGTCTGGTCCCTTCAGTGATGCCAGAATGAACGGGAAGTAATGTTTGTGGGTGCCTATTATGTGCACAGCAGTATCTATGAGTCCATCATCAAACGCTCTAACCCTTTGTGGGTCCTTTTTTGCTGTCTGTTCTACTGGAAGAACTTCACAGTGACCATATCTTTTTGTATTTGGAGAAATATTTTTAAAATATAATAATATAATGACAATGATAATAACCTTGAGCTGTGTAGTAAACTCTTATATGTAATTTACAAATAAGAGAGGAGTGTTTCAATCCTCTTCTCCTGGAGAGCCCTCTGCTAGGTTGTATTGTGTGGACCACATGAGTATTTGAGGTGACAAATACTGAAATGCACATACCTGTGACTTTACTTTCTGGGACCAAATAAGAGGAAATAAAATCATATAAATTGTAAGAAGAGTAACTGCTGTGTTATCACCTTATGTGTTATCACCTGTAGTCACAGCTTTGCTAGAAGATTATTCTTTTCAGTGAATAAATCAAAATTAAAAGACTAAATTCAATTACATCATAGAAGACCTGGAAGCCATTAAAAATATTGTATAAATGTATAAATTGATGAGGAAAGTTGTTTACAACATATTGTCAAAATTTACAAAGCAGTATGTACGTCATTTTTTTTTAATTAATTTATTTTTTGGCTACGTCAGGTTTTAGTTGTGGCAGATGGGATCTTTCGTTGCGGCTAGTGGCTCTTCGTTGCGGTGTGCAGCTTCTCTCTAGTTGTGGCGCACAGGCTCAAGGGTGCGTAGGCTCAGTAGTTGTGGTGTGTGGGCTTAAGTACTCTGCAGCATATGGGATCTTAGTTCCCCTACAAGGGATCTAACCTGCGTCCCCTGCATTGGAAGGTGGATTCTTAACCACTGGACCACCAGGGAAGTCCCTAAAGCAGTATGTACATTATGATCATGCACATGGGTTATGCACATGCACCCAGGAAAAGTTCAAATGATATACCACAAGGTGTTAACAACCAGTATGTCTGCATGATGGGATTGCTAGTAGGTTAGTTGGTTGGTTGGTTTTTGCAAGGTCAAGGGGTGTGCTTCTTTATTTCTGCATTGTTTTTATAATAATATTAATGTATTTATAAGGGTAGCTAACATATATTGATCTCTTACTATGTGCTGGGCACGGTTCTAAGCTCTTGACATGTATTAACTCATTAGGTCTTCATAACAGCACCACAAAGTGGGTGCTTCTATATCCCCAATTTTATAGGTGTGAAACAGGCACAGGAAGATTAAGTAACATGCCTGAATTCACTCAGCCCTAATTGGCAGAGTTGGGATTCAAACCCAGTTCATCTCGTTTCAGAGAAAATACTCCCACCAGTACACATATAATAACAATAATAACATTTCATATGTTATTTTAAAAAATCTTTGGGCTGTTACAGTTTGGGTCTATTTCAAACCAGGAAGTGGCATCAGACCGCAAGTTCTACCCGCCATTCCTCTCCATCATTGCTGGAGCTCTAAACCCCTTTTCTAGGTTGAAATTTGGTTGGAGACTCTACTCACCCCATCCTGTTTACAATGATACGTGGGCTGGGAATTGAGAAACCTGGGTTCAGTCTTCGGTCTGTCAAAAGCAGGCAAGTTATTTAGCCTCTCTGTGCTTTGATTTTATCATCTTTAAAATGGAAGTGTCTCTAAATAGACATTTCTCCAAAGAAATGGACAATAGACACGTGAAAAGATGCTCAACATTGCTAAATATTAGAGAAATGCAAATCAAAACTACAATGAGGTATGTCCTCACACTGGTCAGAATGGCCATAATTAAAAAGTCTACTGGACTTCCTTGGTGGTCCAGTGGTTAAGAATCCACCTGCCAATGCAAGGGACACGGGTTCGATCCCTGGTCCGGGAAGATCCAACAAGCTGTGGGGCAACTAAGCCCATGTGCCACAACTACTGAGCCTGTGCTCTAGAGCCCGAGAGCTGCAACTACTGAAGCCCGTGCACTCTGTGCCCACGTGCTGCAACTACTGAGCCCGTGTGCTGCAACTACTGAAGCCCACACACTTAGAGCCCATGCTCTGCAATAAGAGAAGCCACCGCAATGAGAAGCCTGTGCACCTCAATGAAGAGTAGCCCCCGCTCACTGCAACTAGAGAAAACCCGTGTGCAGCAACAAAGACCCAATGCAGCCAAAAAAAAAAAAAAAAAATCAGTTAAAAAAAAAGTTAGGGCTTCCCTGGTGGTGCAGTGGTTGAGAGTCCGCCTGCCAATGCAGGGGACATGGGTTCGTGCCCCGGTCCGGGAAGATCCCACATGCTGCGGAGTGGCTGGGCCCGTGAGCCATGGCTGTTGAGCCTGCGCGTCCGGAGCCTATGCTCCGCAACGGGAGAGGCCACAACAGTGAGAGGCCTGGGTACCGCAAAAAAAAAAAAAAAAAAGTTAAAAAAATAAGTCTACAAATAATAAATGCCGGAGAGAGTGTGGAGAACAGGGAACCCTCCTCCACTGTCGGTGGGAATGTAAGTTGGTACAGCCACTATGGAAAACAGTGTGGAGGTTCCTTAAAAAACTTAAAATAGAGTTACCATGTGATCTAGCAATTCCACTCCTGGGCATATATGGAGAAAACTATAATTCAAAAAGATACTTGCACCCCAATGTTCATAGCAACACTATTTACAATAGCTGAGACATGGAAGCAACCTAAATGTCCATTGACAGATGAACGGATAAAGAAGATGTGGTATGTATACACAATGGAATACTACTCAGCCATAAGAAATAATGAAATAATGCCATTTGCAGCAACGTGGATGGACCTAGAGATCATCATACTAAGTGAAGTAAGTCAGACAGAGAAAGACAAATATCATGATATTACTTATATATGGAATCTAAAATATGATACAAATGAACTTATTTACAAAACAGACTCACAGACATAGAAAACAAATTTATGGTTACCAAAGGGAAAAGGCAGGGGTTGGGGGAGAGGGATAAATTAGGAGTTTGGGATTAGCAGATACAAACAAAATAGATAAATAACAAGGTCCTACTGTATAGCACAGGGAACTATATTCAATATCTTATAACAACCTATAATGGAAAAGAATATGAAAAAAATATATATATATATGTAACTGAATCACTTTGCTGTACACAAGAAATTAACACAACATTGTAAATCAACTATACTTCAATAAAAGAAAAGGATAGGGGGACTTCTCTGGTGGCGCAGCGGTTAAGAATCCGCCTGCCGGTGCAGGGGACATGGGTTCAAGCCCTGGTCCAGGAAGATCCCACATGCTGCGGGGCAACTAAGCCCGTGCGCCACAACTACTGAAGCCCGTGCGCCTAGAGCCCTTGCTCCGCAACAAGAGAAGCCACTGCAATGAGAAGCCCACGCACCACAATGAAGAGCAGCCCCCACTCGCCGCAACTGGAGAAAGCCTGCGCGCCACAACGAAGACCCAATGCAGCCAAAAAGCAAAGAAAAGAATAGGCAGAAATTTTAATTCAACAACAACAAAAATGGAAGGTTCTTAAAGTGTGATAATTGTGTTATGGTTACATTGAAGAATGCCCTTGTTCTTAGGAGTATTTAGTGTTGAAGTGGCATGATATCTGCAACTAACTCACAAATGGTTCATGATTTTTTAAAAAACTGTGTGTGTGTGGGTGTGTGTCTGTGTGTGTATATAAATGGGGCAAGTAAAAGGAAGAAAGCAAATGTGGCAAATTGTTAACAGTTTGTCAATTGTTTAGTGAAGGGTATTCAGGTATTAGTTGTACTATTTGTGTAACTTTTCTAAGGATTTGAAATTTTGAAAAAAGAAGCACGATAGGTCAACAAGATGAAATTTCATGTAGACGTTATAGTGAATGAGTGTTGTTAGTTATTGAATTTTATGGCATATGAGATGAAAGCCAGGATATATGTTTGAAGTCCATTCTCTTCTCAACTGTGTAAAAAGTTCTTCAATATTTCCAGCAATAAACTTAGCAAGCATAATGAGGCTTCACGTTACAACTTTGAACAGAAAAAAAACGTAATAGCTTCATTTTGCCTTCAAAATAGCCACCTATCTGCTACTTTACTCATTCATTAATAGGAAAAAAAATAAAATTAAGTACCCAACCTAGGTTAAACAAAGAAACTGAAGGGTCAGACTACCTGATGTCTAAGATCCCTTCCAGTTGTAAGCTTCTGTAATTGGCAATTAAGCAACATGATTTAATGATGATCTATATTAATTTCATCACTGGAGCTGTAGTCACAGAGCTCGTTCCCCAAGGCATATGAGGGGGAAGGCTCAGCCATGCGTGTGTATCTCATTATAGGAAAATGAGGACAAGACGGGAGCTGGAGCCCAAGGTCCCCAAGCCAGCCTCCCCTTCTGCCGTGGGCCCAAACAGCAACAGCAGCCAACACCCTGCAACTGTGACCTTCAGCCCTGTTGACGTCCACGTGGAGACTCGGTGACCCCCCATCCTGGGTGCTGTCTCGGCCACTGTCCAAAGAGCCTTCAGTCAAGACCAAGAAGCACATTTCTCCTCTGGCAGCTTCACTATGAGTTTGTTCCGGTCAGGTCAACAGGGGCATCTCTTATGCAATCCCTGATGCTTCAGGCAACCCCCAACCCCATCCTGCCGGGCCCCACCCCAGGTACGTCCATATCCCTGCTGCCACCCTTCCAAAAAGCTGTGCTATTTTGGGAATCCACTGCTGTGGGTTTAGCTGTCTCCCCACAAACACAATAGCTAGACAGACAGACAGACAGTCAGATGGCCCAGGAGTCTTCTGGTCAGGAGTCAGGGGTCAGGGCATGCTCCTTAGAGGGTCTGCCCTGAGGTCATATCAGAGGAAGGGCCATATCCACAGCTTTGTAGAGCAAAATAGTCAATCCCATAATCAGGCACTAACTCACCAACAGCCCAGCTTGTTAATTTATAACTTGTTCCAGTGCTAAATGACTGCTAGCTAGCTCATGATCATCGATCAGCACATTTCTCCCTCTTTAAGAAAGGTTTTGGGGAAAACTGGATTCTTCTCCAAAGGTGTCTACTTCTTTAGTAAAGAGTCAAAGTCGAAGACATAGGATGACCTTGAGGAAGAACAGCATCTAGGATGAAAGCTTGCTGTAGTGTCCATGGGCCTGGAATAAGCCTGGTGTCTGGTCAGGGCCCCTCCCCCCACACACCCCCACGGGGGCTGGATTAACCTTGACTCAGTCTCATTTCTTGGCTTCCCTCTATTTGGATTCTGAACAATCCTCACTCTCCAGTTACCATCTTACCTCCAAGGTCCAGTATTTGGAGACTGATTAGATTACAGCTCTATTTATGTTACCTCTGCCCTTCCTGGTCACCTTGCAAAGATTCAGGATATATTCAAAGTACCACATTCACAAACCATTCCTCTGGACAGAACTCATCTCTTTGACACTTCAGCCTGGAGAACAACCTACTGAAAGAGGAAAGCATTTTGGAATTAAGAAGACCTGCCTTCCAAGCCCTATTTCCTGGTTTTGTGGCCTTGGGAAAGTGACTTGACCCCTCCGTATTCTGTTTCCTAACATGAAATGGGAATAACGTCTGCCTCACTGGGTGACTATGACAAGCCAGGGACTTAGTAAAACAGCTTAGGTAGCACCTGGCGCCCAGCAGATGCTTTATAAATGGGAGCCAGCATTATTATTATGAATTTCTTCCATTGTAAGACATACACTTGTTCCCATTTTAATGATTCTGAAATCAGAATATGTCTTAAAATGGATGGGTCCACTAATGAGGTTGCATTTTTTTTCTCTCTCTCTCTCAAAAAGCTGTTTTTTAGCCAGTTGTGCATTTTACAGTTGAAGGCATCTTGGAAACAAGGTAATAAATCTGTATTCTATTACAGACAGTGACACACTCTGACATTTAACCTTAAACTCTAGGAGTCTCTCCTTCTGAGGGAAATCTCTTTTGAGGGAAAACTGAGGGTCAGGAGGTAAGAAGACGGACACAGGGTCACACAGTTCATGTCATCCCACTATAAAAATGCTCACTTGAATATATCTGGAGAAATACAGGCAAATTCTTTCTCCCCAGACATCTCTTCTCCCTCCTGTGTTTAAATATCCAGCAGACACTTTGCAAGGTGTTTTACATAAGTTATGTCATGGGATTTATTTTTCCCAATAACCCTGGGAGGTATTATTTTTCCCATTTGCCAATGAGAATTTCAAACTCAAGAAGAAAAAATACTTGCTCAAAGTCTCACAGCTTGTGAGACAGTAAGTCGCAAAGACAAGACTCAAACCGTGGCCTCTTTGACTCCAAAGTCCATCTTTTTGTTGTATCACACTCTTCCCTAACATCCCGGCTCACAGAACATGGATTCTTTTGCGAGCTGAGCAAGAGGAGGACAGGCTTACCCATGTGTCTGAGTGGAGGTCGGGGGTCAGCTTCCACACCAAAGGTGGGGCAAAGCCACTTTGGTAGCCTCCTCTGGGCTTCCATGATTGTAGACAAAGGGGCCGTTTCCAAATCCATCCAAGCTCTAAGGATTTCTGCTTCATTCCCCCACCACTTAGGCCCAAGGAGCAAGGCATGAGATGGCCTCGAACCAGGACAAAGCCATTTAAGGACTCAAGCCCACATAGATGTGTTTCCCAGATGTATTCTGCTTTAAAAAAAAAAAAAAGATTAGGGCTTCCCTGGTGGCGCAGTGGTTGAGAGTCCACCTGCCGATGCAGAGGACATGGGTTCCTGCCCCGGTCCGGGAAGATCCCACAGGCCGCGGAGCGGCTGGGCCCGTGAGCCATGGCCGCTGAGCCTGCGCGTCCGGAGCCTGTGCTCCGCAACGGGAGAGGCCACAACAGTGAGAGGCCCGCGTAC